GCAATCCACTCACCTCAGCCTCCCAAAGGTGCGGGATTACAGGCTGAGCCACCGAGCCTGGCATTATTATTCACTTTCTACAGACAGAAAGGGACCGACTCTCAATAAGCAAGTGTGGCCTTGAAGGCTGGGGAAATGGGTATATTTAAAGCTCTTGGAGAGGAGTTTGGGCTACGGAGAATGTTAAGTTGCACTTTTTGATGTAGATAACAGAAATCACATATGTCTTGTGTCTTGACATCACCAGTAAACAGTATCTCATGACTCCAGTAAATTAATAATTCATCAAGGCCAGAAGCACAGATGCCTTGAACAATTTGGTTTACATACTTTTAATTGGTTACAGTTTTTGCTTATTCTGGGAGTTTTGGTTCACAAGGCTTAATTAAACATTATACATAAAATCAACACAAAGACATGAAAGAAAGCAGTTGTCATTTAGAGACTAAGGGAACAGATATATTTTTGGGTGTTAGAAAGTTTCAGCGGGGCTCATTTCTTATCTAGGCCTGGCAGAGGCTTTTCCAGGGATGTGCAGGTTTTTGTTGGTGCCCCCTGCTTATCTGAGGGTTCAAAGAAGATGGTTGTGCTCCCTTCAGTACCAGCAACAGTTACTAGATCCAAGAACAATGAAAGGGGAGAAGACAAGAAAACAATATTCACTTTTAAATTCAAATAGCTTCTACGGTTGGCCCAACTTAGCTTAATACAAATTTCTTCTCAAGCCTTTTAGTTAGGAGTTTGAATAAGCATAATTAGGACTAGATAAGCTTAGAGAGCTTAGAATAATTAACAAGTTTTAACCCCAGGAGTGCCTATTTTGTCTCTTTGATCAGAACTGCTTAGTAAAGTAAAACAGGGCTAGAGCTGAAGTTGAAATGACTGCACTATTGCTAGAATTATTTTACCATGTTATTTTATTCTAAGTTTCTTGGGGTTCCTTCCTTTCAAAGATTATCACAATACAATTAGGCTCACCTAACAAAATAATCTCACTTTACTAATACATGGTATATTTAGTTTACTAGAGTTGTCATAACAAAGTACCACAAACCGGGTAGTTTAAACAGTAGAAATTTATGTTCTCACAGTTCTGGAGTCTAGAAGTCCAAGATCAAGGTGTTGGCAGAGTTGATCTCTTCCAAGGGCCATAAGAAAAGAATCTGTTCAGGGCTGTATCTTTGGCTTATAAATGGTCATCCTCTCCCTGTGTCTTCACACCATCTTCCCTCTGTCCATGTCTGTGTTCAAATTTTCTCTTATAAGAACATCAGTCATATTGGATTAGGACCCAAACTAATGACCTCATTTTAATTTAGTTATCTCTATAAACACCATATCTTCAAATATGTTTACACTCCGAGGTACTGAAGGTTAGGACTTCAATACCCACAAATCTTTGTGGGATGGGGGGGTGACACAATTCATCCTATAACACATGGAGCCCATCTTATCCATCACAGCATATTAAACTCTCCACCCCATTCCCCAGTCACGGTGACTTTAATAGAGCTCCTAGTTTATAGTTAAGTCGGCAAGTGCCCAACAGCCTCAAAGTTCTGCCCATGCATGTACATCATTCAAGTGGAGCAGGAGGGATGGCCTCCATATTCTCCTTCCAGATGCTAAAAGAACAGCTAGAGGGCATGGGCTGGCTGACACTTTTTTTTTTTTTTTAAACTATATGTTATTATAACTGTGATGAAACAATACTTTCCTCTTTGGAAATTGGTTTTTTCCTCTTCTTGTAAAGGGCTACAAGAAGGCTGCAGGGCTTTATTTATTTATTTTAACCATAATTATTATTGTTAAGCTGTAACTTAGCTGATGAGTGTGTATTTCAGTAGTATCCCCAGACTGGGCTTTTATAAAGACATTCTCAAATGAGTGCTTATCAAGAGGATCTTGAGGAAAGCTAGGTTTCTTTGAATATCTTTAAGTAAGAAAAAGCATATACTTAGCTATAGTTTTGCAGTTAGAAATCATTTGAAAGAGGTGAAATTCCAAGGTGGTTTTACGGAATTTCCAGGTTCTTTGGTGGGCACCTGCCATTTATGTTAAAGTGAGAGTCTGAAATCCTTGCAGAAGATGTCACTTTACTTTATCAGAACAATCGCTCAGGAGCTACAGGCTTAGCTTCCTTGTCTCCACCATTGACAAGTGTTGAGTGACTATAACTTTAGGGCATCTTCTCCTCAAGGAATAATACTGTCCTAATCAGGGCCTTTTTGGAGTTATTCCTACACACTAAACTGTGAATACTCAATATAGACTCCAGCAGGTAGCACACGGATGTTTGGATTATCAGATGATAATTTGATATATCAGCCTGATTACTATTAAGTACCTTCTCACTTAGTCACTTCATGGATTGTGTTGCTTAAATCAACAGGTCATCTCCAGTTCTTACAGTGCTGATCTGAAGTTTCAGGTCATTTTCTATCACTGGCTGGTCAGCTATCAGAGACCAAAAACTGCTGCATTCTCAGAAGGAAATATTAACCAACACTGGGAGCACCAGTATTGGTCATGACGAGTGAGTCACTACAAGAAATGATACAGAAAGTCGTGGGATCAAGAACAAGAACACTTGGAAAGATAATCTGAGCATGTTGAGGTAAGTAATATAGGGTTCACTCTAACTGGGAAAAATAGGTGGGGGAAAATATTTGGACATAGATAATGGTAACAAAATACCCTTAAGTGATTGGGAACTTATGTTAAGTTTCCAGACCATTAGATCTTGAGCTATGATTGATGTGCAATTAAAACAGACAAAAATAATTATTTGCCAAACATTCATTTATTATTAATTTCTCACAGAATCCAATTATTTTAACAAGAATGTCTCCAGGGTAGTATCAGTAGGCCTCAAAGGATTGTGGGCTGATAGGTCTTGTCAAAAGGCTGCTAGAAACTTGCCCCTCTGTTCACACATTTCCCCCTTCCCTCCCCCAACATGCTCTGTGATCTCTTATTGGCTCTAGAGCAAGATAGATGTTTACAGGATCCTGAGCAGGTTCTTCCTGAACTAAAATTTAAAAAGTAATATACTTAAATCCATCAAAACGTGGGGGAAGAGAACTGAGCACCAGAGACTACAGCAGACACAGTTTTAAAATTTGAGCTCTCAAGTTGTTTGAGAAACACCTTGTTTTTGCTTCACGAGATAAGCGTTTAAGTGGAGTTCAGTGTAAAAATATAACTTGAATTCTAAGTGTTCAAGCTAAACCTTATTCTTAAAAGATATTTCTTCCAGTTATGGGCTGATATCACAGAGTTTTTATGCAGAAGTCACACCCCCAGCACTATTCAAAGGTTATAAAAATTTGTGAAAATTGTGCCACAAAAGATGAAAAGCTATTTGGAGGCAAAGATTAATGAAATGTAGCCCCAAGAAGGAATATCAACTTGAATATTTAAAAACATCTGAACTCTCCCACAAGATGGATCAACCATTAAACGCAGAGACCCATTGTTTTGAATCTCAAATAATTATTATTACTATTGCTACTTCTGAAAGCAATAGATTAACGTGTTCCTCAAACAAAAGTCCTTAAGCTTAATTGAATGATTTACGTTTTTAAAAATGCACACCACATCTGCACCAAAGAGCAAAGACATCTCGCGGTAAAGATTTACTTGAGGAAAAAGAAAAGGTAAGAGCGCAAAGTACATAAAATGAGTGTAGTTTAAGATTTTGGAAGAAAGACACATTCTAACATCAGAGAGTTTTCCCACAACCAGAAACATCCGAGTCTTCCCTTGGTACCCAGTGTTTCTCATTTTCCTTTGCTTGAAGCTTTGGCAGGTGTCAAGATATTGGCAGCATCTCTTAAGGACGGTATTGGGATCTCTGCTCCTGGATGTACTCATAGAGAGGGCTGGAGCGCACCGGGACACTGGCAAACTGACCCTGCCCACGGCACTTGTCTTGGGATTGGCGACGCCTCTGCTCTTCCTCTCGCTGCCGGCGGATCTGTTCCTCTCGGAATTTCCTGTCCCGTTCCTGGCGGCGTCTCTCCTCTGCTTCTTGCCACAGTTCTCGGTCCTGACGACGACTCTTCTCCTGCCTGGCAAACTGCTCCTCCGCGCGGTACTGCCGGTCTCGCTCCTGCCGGCGCCTCTGTTCTTCCCGCTCCTCAAGCAGCAGCTGCTCTTCTTCCTCGCGCAACTTTCTGTCGCGGTCCTGGCGAAGCTGTTGCTCGCGCTCCTGGCGGCGCAGCCGCTGTTCCTCTCGCTCCTGGCGGAGCTGCTCTTCCTCGCGGCATTTTCTGTCCCGGTCCTGGCGAAGCTGTTCCTCCTCGCGGAATTTCCTGTCGCGCTCCTGGCGGCGCAGCTGCTGTTCCTCGCGCTCCTGGCGGAGCTGCTCTTCCTCGCGGAATTTTCTGTCCCGGTCCTGGCGAAGTTGCTGCTCCCGTTCCTGGCGGCGCAGCTGCTGTTCCTCCAGTTCCTGGCGGAGCTGCTCTTCCTCGCGGAATTTCCTGTCCCGGTCCTGGCGAAGCTGTTCCTCCTCGCGGAATTTCCTGTCGCGCTCCTGGCGGCGCAGCTGCTGTTCCTCGCGCTCCTGGAGGAGCTGCTCTTCCTCGCGGAATTTTCTGTCCCGGTCCTGGCGAAGTTGCTGCTCCCGTTCCTGGCGGCGCAGCTGCTGTTCCTCCAGTTCCTGGCGGAGCTGCTCTTCCTCGCGGAATTTCCTGTCCCGGTCCTGGCGAAGCTGCTGCTCCCGTTCCAGGCGGCGCAGCTGCTGTTCCTCCTCGCGGAATTTCCTGTCGCGCTCCAGGCGGCGGAGCTGCTCTTCCTCACGGAATTTCCTGTCCCGGTCCTGGCGAAGTTGCTGCTCCCGTTCCTGGCGGCGCAGCTGCTGTTCCTCCAGTTCCTGGCGGAGCTGCTCTTCCTCGCGGAATTTCCTGTCCCGGTCCTGGCGAAGCTGCTGCTCCCGTTCCTGGCGGCGCAGCTGCTCGTCCTCGCGGAATTTCCTGTCGCGCTCCTGGCGGCGCAGCTGCTGTTCCTCGCGCTCCTGGAGGAGCTGCTCTTCCTCGCGGAATTTTCTGTCCCGGTCCTGGCGAAGTTGCTGCTCCCGTTCCTGGCGGCGCAGCTGCTCTTCCTCGCGCTCCTGGAGGAGCTGCTCTTCCTCGCGGAATTTCCTGTCGCGCTCCTGGCGGCGCAGCTGCTGTTCCTCGCGCTCCTGGAGGAGCTGCTCTTCCTCGCGTAATTTTCTGTCCCGGTCCTGGCGAAGTTGCTGCTCCCGTTCCTGGCGGCGCAGCTGCTGTTCCTCCAGTTCCTGGCGGAGCTGCTCTTCCTCGCGGAATTTCCTGTCCCGGTCCTGGCGAAGCTGTTGCTCCCGTTCCTGGCGGCGCAGCTGCTCTTCCTCGCGCTCCTGGAGGAGCTGCTCTTCCTCGCGGAATTTCCTGTCGCGCTCCTGGCGGCGCAGCTGCTGTTCCTCGCGCTCCTGGAGGAGCTGCCCTTCCTCGCGGAATTTTCTGTCCCGGTCCTGGCGAAGTTGCTGCTCCCGTTCCTGGCGGCGCAGCTGCTGTTCCTCCAGTTCCTGGCGGAGCTGCTCTTCCTCGCGGAATTTCCTGTCCCGGTCCTGGCGAAGCTGTTGCTCCCGTTCCTGGCGGCGCAGCTGCTCTTCCTCGCGCTCCTGGAGGAGCTGCTCTTCCTCGCGGAATTTCCTGTCGCGCTCCTGGCGGCGCAGCTGCTGTTCCTCTCGCTCCTGGAGGAGCTGCTCTTCCTCGCGGAATTTCCTGTCCCGGTCCTGGCGAAGTTGCTGCTCCCGTTCCTGGCGGCGCAGCTGCTGATCCTCCAGTTCCTGGCGGAGCTGCTCTTCCTCGCGGAATTTCCCGTCGCGCTCCTGGCGGCGCAGCTGCTGTTCCTCGCGCTCCTGGAGGAGCTGCTCTTCCTCGCGGAATTTCCTGTCCCGGTCCTGGCGAAGCTGCTGCTCCCGTTCCTGGCGGCGGAGTTGCTGTTCCTCCTCGCGGAGTTTTCTGTCGCGCTCCTGGCGGCGCAGCTGCTGTTCCTCCTCGCGGAACTTTCTGTCTCTGTCTTGGCGTCTTTTCTCTTCTCTCTCCTCTCTCAGCAGCTGCTCTTCCTCCTGGAACTTCCTATCTCGCCTTTTGGCTTCCATTAGCTCTTCTCGCTCCAGCTGCTCTTCCGCTGGGAATTGCCTGTCGCGCTGCTGCCAGCGTCTCCTCTCTTGGTCTCGAAGTCTCTCCTCTTCCCGTTTATCCAGCAGGGGCCGCCGATCCCGCTGGAATTGTCTCCCTCGCACCTGGGACTCTTCCAATTGCTGAAACTTTCCTTCATTCTCTCCACGTTTGCAGCAAACCCTGTTATTACGAACTTCATTTTCCTTTTCTGGTTGCCACTGCCACTTCAGATCGCGGCGCTGATCCTCATCCCGGTAGAAGCGCTTCCTCTCCTGTCGCCGAAGCTCCTCTTCCTCCCGATACTGCCGGTCGCGCTCCTGAAGCCTCCTTTCCCTCTGCACCTGCTCTTCCTCCCGCTGCAGCTCCTCCTCCTCCCGGCATTTTCTCTCTCGCTCCTGGCGCCTTCGCTTCTCGCGTTCCTCTCTCTGCAGCTCCTCTTCCTCCCGCTGCAGCTCCTCTTCCTCCCGCTGCAGCTCCTCCTCCTCCCGGCATTTTCTCTCTCGCTCCTGGCGCCTTCTCTTCTCGCGTTCCTCTCTCTGCAGCTCCTCTTCCTCCCGCTGCAGCTCCTCCTCCTCCCGGCATTTTCTCTCTCGCTCCTGGCGCCTTCGCTTCTCGCGTTCCTCTCTCTGCAGCTCCTCTTCCTCGAGATACTGCCTGTCGCGCTCCTGGCGCTGGAGCTGCTCCTCCTCCTGCTGCAGATACTCTTGCTCCCTCAGCGGCTCCCGCAGGGCAGGTTTGGCGTACAGTGTTTGGCGGCGTCTCTGGCTGTCTTCCTCTAATTGCCACCTCCATTTTTGGTCGCGGCGCTGCTCCTCCTGGCGTCGTCTCCTCTCGCGATCCTCTTGGAGAGTGTCCTCCTGCTCCTGGAGCTGCTCCTCCTGCTCGCGGAACTGCAGGTCCCGCCCCCTTTCCCGCCGCTGGCAGCGCTGCTGCTCCTCCAGCTGCCGGCGGCGCTCCTCCTCCTCCGCCGCCGCCTCCTCGCGGAACCGCTGTTGCCGCTCCTGGCGCTCCTCCGCCCTCCGCTGCCTCTCCCGCTGCTCCCGCAGCGAGGGCTTGGCCGACAGCCTCTGGCGGCGCCTGTGCTCTCTTCCTCCGCCTGCCACTGCCATGGGAAGTCTCGGCGCTGCTCCTCCTCCTGCTGCCGGCGGGCCTGCTCCTCCTGCTCCCGCCGTCGCTGCTCACGCTCCTGGCGGCGCCTCTGCTCCTCCTGCTCCTCCTGCTCCCGCCGTCGCTGCTCACGCTCCTGGCGGCGCCACTGCTCCTCCCGCCTGCAGGGCCTCGAGTAGACTTTGCTCTGCCGGGCGCTGGCCTCGCTTTCTAGCTGCCACTGCCATCTCTTGGCGCGGCTCTTGACCCACGCCCGCTCCTGTTCCTGCTCCTCTTCCTCTTCAGCCAGCTCCTGCTCGCGCCTCAGCTGCTCGAGCTCCTCCTCCTCTTCCTCGCGCCTCAGCTGCTGCTCGCGCCTCTCCTCTTCCTGCTCGCGCCTCTCCTCTTCCTGTACGCGTCTCTTCTCCTCCTCGCGCCTCAGCAGCTGCTCGCGCCTCTCCTCTTCCTGCTGGCGCCTTTCTTCCTCCTGCTCGCGCCTCAGCTGCTGCTCCCGTCTCTCCTCCTGCTCGCACCTCTTCTCTTCCTCGCGCCTCAGCTGCTGCTCGCGCCTCTCCTCTTCCTGCTCGCGTCTCTTCTCCTCCTCGCGCCTCAGCAGCTGCTCGCGCCTCTCCTCTTCCTGCTGGCGCCTCTCTTCCTCCTGCTCGCGCCTCTTCTCTTGCTCGCGCCTCAGCTGCTGCTCCCGTCTCTCCTCCTCCTGCCCGCGCCTCTTCTGCTCGCGCCTCTCCTCCTCCTGCTCGCGCCTCTGCAGCCGCTCTTCCCCCTCCTGGAGCTCCCTCTTCAGCTCCTGCCGCTCCCGCCTTCGCCCTCGCTTTTCCCGCAGCTGCTCCTCCTGTGCGCGGCGCTCTTCCCGCTCTCGCGGTGGCTCCGGGTCGCGGCGCCGGAGTCTGTCTGGCTTCTCCCTCCGCTCCTCCTCCTCAGCGAGCTCCCTCTCCTGTTCCTGCCCCTTCTGCCTGCGTCGTTGCTCAGGCTCGTCTTCCAGTCGCCTGTCCCGGGGCTCGAATCTCCTTTGGTCTTCTTCTTGCGTGCGATCTTGTAGCAGGTCCCCCTTTCCTTCACACCGGGCTCCCTTCTCCTCATCCAGCCCCGTGGCCTGGGCCAGCGCGTAGTAACAAGCTTGAGCCATTTTGAAAATGAATAGGAGGAATTCATTGAAATCGACACGGCCATTGCAGTCGCGATCCAGAAGTTCCAGGATCAGATCGACTGTCTCAGGGTCATGGGGTCTCTATAAGGAAGATAAAGACAAAAACATTGTCCAACGTACCATTTACAGGGAGTAAAATATCACTCACACACATAATATATTTTATGCTATGCTGACACTCAGGAGACATTCAGAGCAATTAGAAAAACACCCAGTGTGTATCAAGTCTTGCTCCTGTGTAAAATGTGAAATTTTTTTTTTTTTTTTTTTTTTAAGTTGGAGTCTCACTCTGTCGCCCAGACTGGAGGGCAGTGGCCGCTCCCGGCCACCGCAGCCTCGGCCTGCTGGGCTCCGGCGATCCTTCCGCCTCAGCCTTCCAAGTATCTGGAATTACAGGCATGCGCCACCACGCCCGGCTGATTTTTTGATTTATTGTAGAGAGGAGGTCTCGCTGCCCAGGCGGGTCTCGAACCCGCGGGCGCAGGCAATTCACTCACCTCAGCCTCCCACAGGCGCGGGATTACAGGCTGAGCCACCGAGCCCGGCTAATATTTTTAAAGCATAAATTCGTTGGACACTTTTGTATCTCATCATTTAGTGCTGATCAAACTGAGCGATGTAAGCAGAAAGACAAAGCTGAATATGAGGTAAGTGTACACACTTTACAGGCCAATTCAAAATGCATCATGAACTTGGGTGGAATTACTAAAGACACACACACACACACACACACACAAAGTGCTCTTTGGTTGGGCGAATAAGAATGAAAGACAATGCAAAAGGAATTTGTAAAGACTTGCAGCAGCAATTTCAGTTTGAAATAGCTAGGACTCCTGACTTAGCTTCTCTTCCATGTTTGAAACCAGAACAAAACATTCGTGGTAACACCGTTTTAATAGAGAACAGGTTGATTTCAGCTCTTGAAATGTGGAAGCGAATTTAAGTTCCTCAAAGTCTAATTTAATTTGACATCTTTGATGGTAGTGTCCCATGAACAGCTCATCCACATTGGCATTGCCATCAAGTACAGGAAATACTTGCTAGCATCTTCTTTAGTACTCAGACTGCAATGACAAGTATCTTCAGGCTCAGAAATGAATGGGGGTTGTAGTGTAGACCTGTTGTGGTATAAAGGGACTATAAAGCCACCATTCCTTGCTCTGGTCTCTCTGGAGACGAAATCTCAGAGCCCCAAGTCAATAGATTCCCTTTTCTTATTAGTTCTTACCTGAAGGACAGTACCAAATTCCCTCTCAAGGAGGTTCTTCAGGTCTTTCTTGGTTAATGCTGACATACCACAAACTGGTGAGGCATACTGATTGTAAGTTTCAGTGATATCACAGATGTTTTTCAGAAGTGAAGACATTTTTTTCCTTCCTTCAAGTTCAAATAGACCTAGAACAATAAAATAGAATCCAGAATTAAAACTCTACTGCTCTTGAGAAGGATTCATTCATGCTGTTTCAGGTAGATGCCTAAATAATTTGACTTTACAGCAATAGTTATTTCAACCTGGGCTTTCAAAGCATTTTATCTTTGAATATTGTATTCAGGAATGTGAAGAGAAATCTTGACAAATTCCAAGCCAGAGAATCATCTTCAGAGAATCTTGGAGTCTGCTTTTGATTGTCCACTGAATCCAGATTATCCATATTCTTTCTTGGTGTCTTCCAGTTCCCCAGCATAGATCAGAGCATACAGTGAAGAGAGGAGTGTAGAAATTTATATTTGCTATATTGCTACTCACAAACACCTTCCTCCAAAGTTGAGCAAAGAGAATAGATGAAAACCAAAAGACGAAAAGAAGACTTGAGAGTTTATTAAAGTGCATAGAAGTCATGTACAACTAATTGTGTCAGCAAAATATTTGGCAGCAAATAGAACAATAAAAAGGGAATGTGAATTATCCCCTAATGTTTTAGTCCTTAAGAAATCTGGGATATAATTCACAAGTCATCAATTCTAAGATTAAATACTACTTATTCCTAGTCAAAAGATGCATTGAAACATTCAGATATACCGATGCAGAAAGGAAGAGTGCATGTTACCTGCCTCAATTCAGATATAGTTCAGGTATTCAGAGGGTCAATTATTGAAAGCTTCTGAGAGGTCCTTCCTGATTGGCTACCCAAGTCAGTGGGCCAAACTGAACCCAGACAACTTTGAATGATACTGGTCTGTGATTAGCTTTTGTTAAATAAGCCATTTGAATCTTGGCATTATAAAAAACATCAGCCAGCACCAGATCAGTGTTAAAAGAGTACATGGATAACTTTGCTGCATAGCAGATCATCTAGCTAACTTCTTTATCTATTACTCAATTCCAGTACTCAGAAGCCATAACTGTATGAACATGACACATATTAGGAAGAACAAATGTAAAAAGAGACCAGAAGATTGGCAAACTTTTGAGATGACAGTTTTTGAAAAATGAGCCCTATTAGAGCCACACATGACTGCTATCCCCTGATGTGCAAAATTATAGAGTTCAGAGCCTTGGGATGGAGTTAGAGGGAGAGCCATCCCTGTAAGATACTAGTCCCTTCTTGGTCCATAGAACCTTCCCCATATCCCTAACATAAAATAATAAGAAAAATGGAGAATCATAAAGAAGACCATGATCCCACAGCATGGGACTTACCCACTTCACCAGAAGAAGAAGTTGAGTGCTCGCTAACACCACTGGCAAGAGTACTGGGTAACTGGGAGCTGAGCCTTTTATAGGGGATTTAATTGTGCCCTGGAGAACAACTTAGGAAGGTGACACCCACTCTGTGGGATGGCCTGATTCATTCCTAACCAAGCCCGGCTCCACCTCTGTCTCCATGAATGGCTTGTTTATCTCACTATTTGCTCACTTAGCTATTTGGCACGAGGTTCACAGGACTTGCCTCCTGACAGCTAGGGTACTGGCCCCACCTAACATGACAGGGTAGAATATTTGGAATGTAGAATTTTCTTTAACTTTGAAAATTAAATTAAACAATAAAACAAAGGTATTAAATATTCTGAATCTCAATTGATTATGACTTCATTACAAAGGAGTAACTTCTAAGCCACTTATTTTATAAAACATAAATTCTCGGTTGAGATGAAACAGAAACTTTGAAACAAATTGAGGAGAACCAATTAATTTATCCATAGAATGGGTTAGTTCCCTGGGAATTGCTTATAAACCCTGCCAGAAGCAATTCTAGGACCATGAGAGAGATGTAAGGAATCGGTTAATTTCTTCTCTAAAAATGCAGATGGAAAAATTTTTATGTGTGCGCTCCTGGGTCTTATGATCATTTTCCTACAGTTTGAGGATTGCCTCCTCAGTAAACAATTATGGAGGGTACCTTAGAAATATGTTTCCATTAAAGCATTCATAAGAAAACATAAAATCTGTGAAATTTCATTCTTAGAGATATTACATCTAAATTCAGTGTGCTCATTTTTTTCTCATTAGCATATTGATGCCCCTGGGGAAAAAGAACTGGTGTAATGCATTATTGTAGATAGAATCATCCTGCTCAGCCTAAGTTACTAATGATTATGACACCTAAACACTTGAGTCTACTTCTCCTGGAAGCGCATTAAGGTAATCGGTCATTCTAGCTCATTATATCCATCAGGGCTTTCCCAACCCTGGCGATCATTTGTAAATCTCAGTGCTGTTTTATTGTAGAGAAATGGATTTTATCCCTGATTGTCAGTGACTCCCCTCCTAACATTTCAGACTATGTGAAACTTTGGTTCATGGTAGGTTTATAGAGACAGTTAAATGATTCAGTGCCTTCTCTGTATTTCTGTCTCTTCCTTTGTCCAACAGAGACATTGGTTTTCTGAATTTTAGGGAGACTTTAGGATTGTTCAGTGGCATTTGGAATCTAAATCTTGATGGCTACTTTTTTATGTGCAGATTGACCCAAATGATAGGGAAATTGAATTCTATTTGCCCCCTCACTTGCAGTCATTCTAGATGTGGGGCATAGAGGAAGGTGGAAGTGCCAAAGGATGGAAAGACAATTGTAAGCCTGGTTTTCTTCTGCCTCCTTAATGACTTCAGCACTGAAATCTGTGATTTAGGGTTTTGCCTAGATCCGTCAGAACTGTCACTGTTTCTTGAGCTAAGTTATCAAACTTGATGAGGCAACTCCTTAATGAAGGGTGAAGATTTCTCTTTTTTTCTCCTTCTATTTAGGGTTTCATACAGTTGTCTCAGTCTTTGGATTCTAGAATAGTACCTTAATGAGCACTGAACACATGGCAAGCACAAGTCATCATGGAAACCTACTCTCCCATGGGGGGGCACCAGCCTTTTGTGTAGGTATCCTTCGAGGAATAACCTGAGCAAGTCCTGCCTTACATCTGCTTCAGTTTGTACCTCGGCCCAAGTGATGGGATATATTTGCGTGTCTCCCTTATTTTTCTAGAGTGACTATACCCAGGGGGTGACTAGACATTTATTAGGTTCCATGAGAATAAAGGAAAATAACATTAATCGTTCTAAAATAATAAGTAAACAAACAGGCATCTCCCCTCCTACTGCCCCCTCCACCAAAAAAGAATGCTTTTGAACAAACCTGACAAAAATGCCTGAAACTACATTGATGGCAAGAGAAAAATTCTTTCTTCTCTTTGAATGAAGCCAGATCTTAAATCCAGTGATGGCTCTCTTTAAAGTCAGTTCCGCATAAGAGAAAATATTTTAAAACCTGCACTAGTCTGAGAGAATTGGATTCCTTCCTGCTCTTGGTCCACCAACAGAAAGTTTCTAAGTAGATTCAAATGCTAAATTTTAAAACCAGGTTTGATATTCTTCTAATTAAGTGACCTTCATTTCTACATACTGTTCTTTTATATCACACAGTATCATTATTTAAGAATATTATT